AGAAGGTTTAGAAGATTATGAAACTTTTGGAAAAAAGGTTCACTCTCGCGTAAGACCTAGCCGCTGTTCTTCTATAGTTCCTTTCACCGTCGTTTTCCCTGATTGGGTTCGGCTTCCGGGGGCTTCCTTAGCGCTGGATTCGGGCCCTCTGGTTTTTAGTCTTTTTGCTTTTAGATCTCGTCGTTTTTAGAGTATCAATTTTTCTTTGAGTTTCATTTCAGATCTGTTCTCGGTTCGTGGATGAAGCTCGAAGGTATGGTTCCGTCTAGGTTTCTGTTGGCGCTTGAGGAATGGCTGGTGTTAGCTGTCGTTTGACTTCTCGTTGGTGTTGATGAAGATTTTTTCGAGACAGTTTTTTCCCTGTCCAACAGCTTAGTGCCCTTGCTCTTCGTATTTTCTGAATAATTCTTCTTACATTTCAACAGTTTTCCCTCAATGATATTGGGTTGAGTCAATGAAAAAGCCTTGCAGTGGTTTGGATTCTATTTGTTTATCTTTGTTGGTGGTCTTCTATGCCTTGGTTTCAAATTGCTACATTCATCCGTGTTGGCTTTATCCCTAGTCACGGTCAGTGAAGGAAGTGATTTCTAGGATCTCTTCACCTCTTGCATTTTCTCTATTCCCATGTTGTGAATTTAGGTTCAATTTCTAATGGTTTGATTGGATTCTTAGTAGCTCGAGGTCTTGTTTTGATCAAAGGGTTTAAGTTGGGTTTTCGGTTGTACTTTTTGTGTCCGATGTTGTACTTGTTGACATCGTATTCTACCCTCGAATTTCACCTTTGTATTCTATCCTTAAATTTCGTCGTTTAATATAATATTTTAGATGACAACAAAAAAAAATTAGAAGATTATGAAATTTACAACATTTTTTTTACAGTTAATTATAAGATTTGCATTTCAGAAAACAAACACATATAAAGTCTACACACTATAGTTGACTAGTAATCCATTTTACAAATATCTTATTTATACAGTTAGATATTGGGTGTCTAACATCCAACCAAATAAGGTTTTTTTTTATCCTCTTATTCTCTAAGCAAATATTTCTGTTATTTGATATTGAGTTGGGACAGTGACCTAAATAACAAAATTATCTTCGCTCCACATTTGTTAGTTAAATAACCCCACTAGTACCTTGTTTATTACAGTTGTGATGCTTCATCAATTAAATTACCTTATAATCATAAATTAGATTTTCCAAATCCAAGAAAAGGTAAACAAAACAGAGTGAAGAAAATCTGCTTAAACAAAAGCATTTATCATCCCATTACACTATCTTCCTCTAAAGGATTGATCATAAAGCAAAGCAAAGCAACCTCCTTTCTTTTAAGCCATTGAAGATAACAAAAATCAAATCCACT